AAAGCAGAACGCATCCCTGACAGCTCCAAGTGTTTAAAGCAACTGTGACTTTTTAACACACAATCTTCGCCGGGGGTAGTAGACATCGAAGCTTGCTTAGTGCAGCATCGTTATCGAAGCAAACAACTCCTCCAGTTGACCAGAGACTTTCGTAAATAACCCCATTACAACCGACCAGACCATCAGCCACAAATGTAAAGGCGTGCCGTGTCAGAACTGTTCCAGCGATGCAGCCAAGGGAGGACCGTGTCAAGCAAAACGAGACGTACGTTCGAAACGTCACTTTGGCTCTACAGCAAACTGAGATCATCCTGTTGAGGTCGTACATTACGGTCGTTGTACTGACATTCTACGGTAAGCCGACTGCTACTCTTTTCTGTTTTCAAGGTACTGATATCGTGTATTGTAGTCTGTTTCTTAAGGGATTTATCTTGCTCTAGTCTTCAGGTTACCCAATCGGAAATATTTCGCAACGATGTCCACTATGACGACATCCACCACTGTCGATGATTTTTCATCTTCTGCTGCTGGGCAGCATTGAAGCGGTCTTCCTCGTGGTGTACCTGATCCTGATTTCGCACCAACTTGGAGTGTCGGGACTTCACCAACTCGCGTTTGTGCTCTGTTCGCAACGTGTTTTCTCCAAAGTTCGTGGCGTTATCGCTGATGATTATTGGTTCCCACTCGAGCAGTACGGCAACGACGTCATATACAAACTAAAAGAACTGGATAATCATGTACTTCTTCTGGCTGAGAATGATCGCACGATTGGAGAAATCAATACATAACTCTGTCAATACTATTTCAAATCAGGCGCTGATTGGCTTAATCGAACCGTTAGCGTTTCAGCTATTGGGCACTATTAAGGTTTGAGCTATCGAAGCAGTAGGTGAAACGCAATGGCCTCGAGAAACCGATCTCCTCTGCCATTCATTTTTAAAGCACCCGCCCAGGCCAACGTATTCATTCTTCATCAGCTTTGGTGCTACTATGCGAAACCTCACTGATAGAGAGCGCCGTACAATAATTGATGAGCTTCTAACGCGTCTGAAAGGTGGTAAATTGGTGCTCGGGGCACTGACAGAGGTTGCTCGGAAATTTAGCTGTGATCGGTCCTCTGTGAGCAGGCTGTGGACCCAGTACCAATCTATATGTACTAACGGTATCAGTGGAGGCGAATGGCGCAGCAGGATAAAAACAAACTCAGGTGCAAAGCAGATAGACCGCGACAAAGTTGATCAGAAGCTCTCCCAGGTTCCTGCTGAACAGCGTATTGTCATGCGACGAACAGCAGTCGCAGCTGCGCTTACGCGCTACCCGGTGTCTGCTATGCTAAAGGAGGGCCGCTTACATCACCGCTCCACGCGTATTAAGCCGGCTCTAACGACCGAAAACAAGCACATGAGGGTGGAGCATGTGCTGAGCTATATAGATGATGCAACACACAATTTCGAGCCCATGGAGAACGTGATACACATCGACGAGAAGTGGTTTAATCAAGACAAGAACACACGCACGTACATGCTTCTTTAAGGTGAGCTGCCACCACAGAGAGACCGCAAGAGCAAGAACTTCATCCCCAAGTTTAAAAATCCTTGCACTGGCATAAAGCATTCGTGTAATCATTCTCAGCCAGAGGAAGTACCATTCAACACCAGCAAAAAGGATACAATACAAGATGGCTACATAACGGTTTCAAGTATGCGGAGTTAATGCTACTTTTTACTTGCTCTATACACTTAACACTTACTTTTCTGATTCGAGGCGTCAGAGCCAGTGCTTTGGTCTCGAAGAGGCACGAGTAACGGTCAAGGACGAAGAGCTAAGATAACAACTTGCCTCCTTCCAGCAGTAAGAGAGTGTCTCGCACCTCACTGCAGCATCGTCCAGCAAGTCCACAGACCTCTCAATGGCGCCTTCTCTCACTTCCGACGCATTGAACGCCATCGTTAGCAATGAAGAATCAATGCAATCGCGCTCTCCACCAAGTTCCTGTGGCAGTGACGACGATCGCCAGGAAGAGACCGAGTACTTGGAAGTAGCGGATACTGTGCTAAACGACGACAACTGGATCTGGCTACGAGACCTGCTGGACGCTGTATGTGATGTATCGGTGCGGAGTCAAGCTAAAGTCTTCTTTGCTCGGTTGTTCAAGGCTCAAGACGCTGCTAGAATGGAAGCCACGCTGACTGAGATGGAGAATTGGCGGAGTGGTCTTAACGAGAGCGAGCATGAACTGGCGCGTGCGTTGTTCCTGTTAGGATACGACAAAAGCATGTCGTTAGGTAAATAGAGTTAGAATAGGAACTTTTGACACGATCAAATAGACACGATATAGATAATGGGCATCTTTTATTCAAGATTTTATCTGGATTTGAATGACAAACACATTGCTCGATATCATCTCGGGTCTGTAGCTTAAACTAAAAGAGTTAAGAGCCGAATGCTTCGTCGGCTTCGTCTATTTTCTTGAACTCGTAGTGGCCACGTCCATCGAACTGCAATAAATAACACAAATAGTTAGAAACAGATATACAATAAAAAAAATAGAGTACCTACCCGAAGCACATATTCATGGTACGTCCACAGCGACTTGCGATGCGACACCGTGAAGAGCGTGATGTTCTGTTCGCGGCAATAGCTGTACATGGCGCCTTCCACGTCCACACTGACAGCAGACGTGCACTCGTCCAGGATAGCGAACTGCGGCTTGTGATAAAACAGGCGAGCCATAGCCACTCGCTGCTTCTCACCGCCAGACAAGACATCGGCCCAGTCGTGAATGACGTCCCAACCTCCTTCACGCTCAACGAGATGCCCCAGCTGCACCTTCTCCAAGTAAAACATCAAGTCTTCGTCCGTTCTTCCACACGCCTGCATCTCTTTGAGTGAGTGTGGGTAGATAATCTGGTCGCGAAGAGTGCCCAACGTCAGATATGGACGCTGCGGGATGTAGAACAGTCCGTTGCGCTCCGGTTTCGTCAGCCTACCGCCGAACATGGGCCACAGCTCTCCAAGAATACGGAACAGCGAGCTCTTACCGCAGCCATTGGGTCCTGCCACGACAACGTTCATACCAGACTTGACCTTGATATTGAGCGACGGCACCAACACGTCTCCATTCGGAGTCACAAGAGGTACATCTTCGAACTGGATCATGTGGTCACGGTAGCGGATCTCGCCCTTATTAGGATACAACCCCAGAGACTCAGCAGAGGTCGACTGCGTCTTGGATTCTTCCGACAGATTCTCATCTTCAGCTCTGAGCATCGTGCGTTGGTACTTGCCCTTGTCTAGATCACTCAGAACGTCGATCATCTCCGTCACTCGAGCAGTAAATCCAGCCAACCGCGTCAATTCTCGGCCTGACAACACCAGACGCCCCATCGCTTCCGACATCTTCAGCAACATCTTGCCAGACCGGAAATAATCCTCCATTCTCTCTGCATACGACGTGTTCTCCAATCTCTTGTTCGACAAGTCCAAGAACGGCTTCGACAACACAGCGTACCCCACCACTGTAGCCAAGTATTTGGCCACAATATTGTCAATCACACTCATGGAGAAGCGGAACTGCTGCGAACTGCGCACCAAGTCGATGAGTCTGCTGAACGATTGGTCCAAAATGCGCTTCTCCCTCACGTTGCCATTGTAAAAGGCGATCTCTTCGCTGTGCGTGATGAGTCTGGAGTTCATGAAGCGGAAGTTGCCCTCCATCTGTTGCTCAGCGATCGTAAACCGACTAGTCGGTTGTCGTAGCCACGTGAGGAAGAAGCCCGAGGCCACCAAGTAACTGAGCATGATCACAGGCCCCTCCACGCCAATAGAAGACGACAGCTTGACCGCGTAGATGGCTATATCCAGGAGAGGCTTCGACATGTTGGAGTACAGGTCCGCTACCGAGTTACTGAAGCGCTCCACGTCCACTGTAAGCAGCTGGTCGGCGTTGGAGATGCGGTTGTCCAGGTTAGACACTTTGTAGTACACGAACCCCTTGACGTACTGCTCGTACAGGTGCTTGGTGAGTCTCGTGCGGAAGCGCAGACTGAGCTCTGTGTGGCCGTACTTAAGGAGACTGTTAACGCAACTCATGGGCAACATAATGGCCACGAAGCGACGGAGATGACGCATAAAGTCCGTCTGCGAGCGAGAGATGATGGCTCTCTCGATGGCTGTGAAGGTGTGCAGCACTACAATGTCGAAGGACGTGCGAGCCACAAGCATAACAGCCACAAGAGCAGCGAACCCCACTTCGGCAGTGAATGGGCCTGGTACAATGACCTTGAAGAGTCGTAGGAAGCGGCGATAGAACTCCTTATTGACCGCCACTTTCTGTCGACTGCCCTGTTTCTTGGTCATAAACTCCGAGTCCATGGAGAACGCTGCGTTCGCCTTCTTTTGTCCATGTTCGCGGATTGCAATTGCCAACGCCACCTATAAATTGAACAATGAGACACATGACGTCGGACATAGTGAGAAATCGAATTGCAAAAGCTACAGAGTGCGGAGAAGAGCGCGGAGACCGGGAACGTACGAGCGAGACGATGGACACGGCGCCAGATGCGGCATGCGACTTGGACAGCACCGTCATCAAGCAGTAGATGCAGCTTGAAGGTCGAGACTTCTGCGCGTCGTGCGATGCTTTCGGTTGTGACGCGTTGTTTCGCAATGCGGAATCCAACGTGGCAGACAGTGGTCGAAATGGTACTTCAACTAACACTACGTATGCGGTTTTGAAGGTTTATTGAAATGAAAGGGTATATTTAGCAGTATTACTTTTCCATTCTATCTGTAATGACAGGTCATTATAATGTGAAGTATCCGAAGTACAGTACTTACACTGTACTTTTTCAATTTTCTGATTGGTCGACATATAGTTGACGTAAAACTCGGTGTGTTAAACCGCTGACGTCATGGTTGACTTCTGCTAGGATGATGCGAGGAGCTCAATGCATCGCCTCTCAGTATCATATCGCTCTATTGCTACTCGTAATGGAGCGCTGTTGCCAATAACCTCAGTCACACCGCTTTCAATATGCTCAACCTGCTGACTGCCATCCACACCAACAAAAAATCTCACGAAACGACGCGTCGCTCCATCATCTCTTAAAAGCTAATCCTTGCTACGTCCGATGGAGAAGACTCGCGTGAATCGCCAGGCAACGACACGAGTTTCAGCTCGTCCAGGCTCGGCGCATTCCCTCGTAGGTAGCGGATCTCGTGTGCGTCTTCCTACCGCTCCAAAAGATGCGAATCCTCCGAATCCAGACCTCGCGGACGGAGATAAAGTCCCCGCCTCATCAACATTCGACGTATTGGAGCTGTTGGGCCCCTCACTTTCTGAAGTTCTGACATTCGTGAACCCGCCGCAGCCTCGACGACTGCAGGAGGCGCAGCAGGAGGCTGGAGAAGCTACGAACGGAGGCGAACCGACGGCTCAAGACCATCATTCGCACCACGGCAGCAGCAGCTCTCTACGCGACGTCAAGACGTCTGCAAAGTTCGATCTGCGGCTTTCAAGGTCCGCCATTATTGGCAAATTGGTAGATTCGACTATCGACAATGCGCGTAAGACGCAGGAATACTTCGCGAAGCTGCTAAACAAGATCCAGTGCGAGGTCACAGGTCTGGTGCTACTGCACGACGCGACTATCGTTATCTTCCTTGAAACAACAGCCGAGCAGTTCGTAATTATCCTCAAACAACTCCAACAACAACGTATCATTGACGCTAGCTCCATGAAGATCTTAGCCAACTGCGACAACAACGGAGTGCGGATCTTGCAAGGTCTGTACTTCAAGAAGATCGTACTCAATCGCAGCGACACAAGCGAGTGGACGGACGATACAGCGTCGCAATGCATCGTCGAGACTTTCCTCAACTTGATCAAGTTCATCAAGAAGATCGGGCCGATGCCGCCCGGAGAGATCCGCAGATGCCTGAACAATCTCTCGAATACTGACCAGACTTTCCTTCCGTCCAACGATCTACTGCTGTGGCTACTTAGTCGAGATGAACTCATGACACTTGACGAGTATCTAGACTTCTTCGACAGCCCTGTAGCTGTCGAGCTCGAGTCCGAGCGCGTGTGGCCCGTGCACCCCCTTATTCAGTACTAAAGCGACGGATTCGTGCAATATATTTTTTTTATTAGCCAACTCACTACTTTGAAAAGTAAGAAACTGCGTGGCTATTGTCGCTTTGTCCTCATTGCGCGAGGGATCCGCTTAAGCTGGATGGGTGACTGTCTCCATCCAATGTGCAGCCCCCACCGTCGCAGTATCCATCTGCTAGTGTTGCTGGAACATTGACAAACTGACAGCCGCCTCCTGGACACGAGGCCTCTGCTGTGTTGTCAAATACACAGGCCCCTCCTTCACATACAGCCTCTTTGCATTTCCTGTTACGAGAAACAGAGTATGTCGCGCCACTTTAAGCTTTGAGAGTCAAGTAGCACAGCATTGAGCTGCTAATCTAGCTAGTGCACTCACCGGAAGTAGCAGAGTCCTCCTTTGCAGGACAGCGGAGAGACGCAGTTCTCGAACAGACAGCCGCCAGCCACACAATTTTCGGTCTCGCAGGACGTCGGCACGTGGATGTACTGTGAAATGAGGTCCTTCTCCGGAGTGGAATCGTCGTCTGCACCCACATACTGGACGATTAAAGCAAGCAGAAGAAGATGGAGCCTCATGCTGATACACTGGACGGTCTCAATGTGCACTTCAAGAAACGCCGATCTTTCGCGTCCCTTCATGGATCACCTCGGAAATATTTGCCCTTCCACGGATGTCATTGAACACTTGAATTTTTATATTGGAAAATATAAAAAATCAAGTGTTCATTATCCAACTACAGTAACCCCACTATGAGCAAATGTAAGCCAGCGTGTGTTATGATTTCTTTCAATAAAAATTGAATGGTGGATTTTTGTACTATTTTTAGTATGTGGATTCTTACAACGCTTTGATTTCAGAATGCATAACCTAAGCGTGTTACGCGTTAACACACATTCGAATGAAAAAAATGAACATCTGTGGAGCCACCAAATGCCTCACTGTCAATGAAGTAGATATGTCTAGCAGCGACGACGATGCGGCTACAGTCGACGCCTCCATGGAGGCCGCGGCAAGACAAACGGCAATAAGAAGAAACCTCAGCGGGGACCAGGTCCAGAGCGCATGCACATCAGCCAATACAAAGAAGGCCTACCAAGGCTACCTCAAGGGGATTGCTAAGTGGATTCACGCGTCGCAGCCGTCACCAGACACCTTCTTTTGCGAGGATGGCAGCTTAAATCTGGCCGTGGTTTCACCGCAGCACTTTGAAGCCTTCCTTCTGTACAAAATTAACGAGGGAAAACTCAAAGTGACCACTTTAAGTGGCTACAGAAGTGCTCTAAAGAACGTGTATCGGCAGAAGCGTTTAGATTTACCCAGTGAATACTTAGATGATCTGAAAACACTATACCAAGGAGGAGGCTGAGGATGACCAATCGGGGTGCTCGCGTAGACCGGGAAAGGAGCCACTATCTTACTCTTTGTATGCTCAGCTGGCAAAGCTCACTTTGGCTCTGGAAGACAATGGATTTTTGCATCTTTCCTACGGACACAATGGAATCTGATGTGTCGATCTGTGTCGGTGGAGACACGGCATCTGACGCATTGTGCTGACGACACCGTGGGTTGTTTACGCCACAAAACCAAGACAAAACAAGAAGGATCGAACCCAAAGGACCCCCGTCACATTTACGCAAATCCATTGCCATCATGCTGCTGGATGCAAGCATTGGGGCTATGCTTGGCGTCCAATCCAACTCTTGTACACGAAAAGCTCTTCCACGGGTCCAACCAAAAATCTCGATTCAATAAGACGATAAACAGCTTCCTACAAGACATGACAGGCGAGAAAGTTTATGGAGCGCATTCTATTCGAAAAGCAGTGGCTACATTTGCGAGTAGTGGGAGTACAGGTGGGCCATCGATAGTTAGTGTTTGTCTTCGATGTGGCTGGTCGCTTGGTGAAGTGCAAGGTCGATACTTTCGGTATGAATCTGCTGGTGACCAATATCGCGGTCTAGTTGTGGCAGGGCTGACTCAAAACAGCTCACATTTTGGCGAATTATCTCCCCATTTTGATGACCCTCTCGACGACTTTGAAAGAAAATGCACGAGAAACATGTTTCCTGGTTTTGGCTGGAGATGCGCATGTCGCGCCTGTGCTTCAACTCTGTCGTGCTTCAACTCTGTCTGGCTTCAATTGCGGCCAATGCTACATTTCTGCGTGAAAATCTGAAGTCAAAGCACGCTGTATTTACGTCCTACGTATTTCGCAACTCTGATGTTTTGGATCAACTCACGACCCTACTAAATACTGGCGAGAGCACCTGGATGCGGCCAACGGGAATCCCTCCGCACGTTGAGCGCTATCGACAGCATGTTGAAACTCGTAAGGTGCTGACCGAGCTTCCAACTGTACTTCTCGATGATTTCTCTAATTTACTAGATGATAAGTGTGTTACACAACAGAGTATCACGAGGGATAACCTAGGGGCTACAATTCGGTCAATTCTAGAGGAGGCTGGATTATGGCAGAGCCATACAACCTTACAGCAAGCTGAGACTTCGTCTGATCCTACAAGCATTGCTCATCATTGGCAATGGGATGGGAAGTTTCATCGAATGCCGGAAGCATTTATCTTTCCGCAGCTGGACGCGCTCAGTGTGGTGGCTTGGAAATCCCGAAGCTGGTAACCCCCCCCCCCCTTTTTTTAGAGGACTACACCCGTCGGACTTCACGAAAGGCAACCGAAAGATGTTCTCCGAGTGGACCGTTCTAGTCCGCCACATAGTGGCTGGTGTCGAGCGTGTCACACAGCAAAGCATTTTCCGCCCCACTACACAAGAGAAGGTTGGTTGCATGTACCGCGAAGGAATCGCTAACGTGCTGATAAAAATGCCAGCACACCCAGAAAAACAGCGATCTGAACGTGCAGAGACCTCGTTGCGCCGTATTCGACAGGCAATTCACGACAGTAATCCGGAGGCGCGAGCTATACCCTTCCGCCAGGCCTCGAACAATACAGTATTACATTATACTGCACGGCCCGGCGCCCCATAATAGTAACTGCAATATGACGAAGAACAATAATAATAATTTACCAATATCCGTATATTGTACCACCTACCTACCTCTACTCCGTGGTGATGAGCGATGCCGCGTTCCACAAGTCACGGTTAACGCGAAGAAACGCCAGCATTTCAAAGTTCGCAGGTAGCATGCACGTCCGCTGAGGCGTCAAGACGAGCTTACACTGCGAAAAAAAGCCACTCAACTGTGTTCGACGTTGGCGGTACCACCTTCGCCAGCTCGTGAAAGCTCACCGTCGCAGCACCCGTAGTTCGCGTCTGCTTTCCTCCTCGTAGAATCTCGCTGGCGTAGTTGCTTGCCGCGCGTTCTTTCCTTTTACCGCTTGTAGCGGTTGGCTCTACTACGAATCGCTGTACCGCTCGCAATTCAGACGCAGTGAGCTTTGTGTTGTTGCAAATCTTAACCAAAGCTGAGTCAAAAACCGGCGTGTGAACGATCTTCGCAGTCGGACGTAGATGACTTGCCATAACTGAGTAGTCATCAGCTACCTGGTCAAACAGAACGCGAACGTCGACCATGCTGGTGTTCTCACACTGGAGTGTCTTACACACACTATCCAGTTTCTTGAGTTGCTCTAGCAGAGCGAGAAGCTTCTTGCGGGTCGAACCGTTTGGGATGAACTCTTCAACAGCATCAACCTGTCGAATAGAATCTCGAATTTCTTTGTAGCGGCACACCATTTCAAACGTTGAAGACCAACGAGTAATATTTTGTTTGATAGGTTTTCGATCCGTGAATTTTGCTAGTTCCGCCGCGTTGTTGACATGACGTAGCTGCACCATGAGGCTGTTAACTGCAGTGAGCTCCGTCTCGTATGAAGCTAAGTACCGGTTCACCGCAAGGTTGTATCGATGACTTGCGCAACCGACCAGTGGTAACTCCAACAACGTAGCAATACGCTGATTTGTCGCGCAATTGTCAGCTACCAGAAAAGCCACCATCGAAATGTCCTTCTTATACAGTGCTAGGACGCGCTTGAACATATCGATGTGTACGTCTGCATCTTGGCTGCCATCATCCAGGGGCCAAAGCGACAGCAACCGCTCACGGCGCATACCGCTTACGTAACAAACACCGTATATACCAACGTAGTGTACGGTACCATGCGTCCATCCGTCCCACATGAATCCAAACAGCTCGCCCAACTCTTTCTCGACCAGCACGCCAACGCTCTTGGAGCATCTTTGCATGTCTAGCTTCAACGTCTTTGACGAAACGGGTTTCCAGGACGACATAGACCTTGTGAGGGGGTCATCAACTTTGGTAAGGGGCATGTTTCTCTCTACTACCCACTGAAGCCACTGGTAGCGACACTTAGTCGCTTCTGAGACGAATCCAAAGCTGGAGAGAGGTGTGGCTGTAGCCAAAGAAGTGTCGTAGGTCTCCTCAAAGTCGGGGTGCTTCAGGTTGAGGTGGGACAGCAGATTTGAGTAGCCGGTTCCGGCTTGCTGTTTACGGGGAGTACCGCAAAGCTGGCAGCCTTGACCTTTGTCCTCAAAGAAGAATGCGCAGATTTCACGGTTCGGAGCCATCGGGTCGAAATGCAAAGTGAAACTATGTTGCGGAGCAACAGCTCTGTGCTCGTGGCCACCAGTAGTTAGAATGATTGGTTCAAGCCAACCGCGACGCAAATTCACTCAAAGCCGGTATTGTATTGGTATTATTGGGACAATATCATATTGTATTGATTTTGGTCTATTCCAATAATAAATATTTCTAGCCAGACAATACAGTAATTATTGTATTGATGTTATTTTTTCCGACCCCTGCCTTCCGCAAAAGAAAAGCAAAGAAACGTGTTAGAAAAAAGCTCTTGTAACACAAAGTAACAGACTGCGTTACCTTCAGTGTATCAATCGTACTTGTGCAGCATAAGGAGACCGATGCACTTGATGTCCACTGCGCACTTTTTCAAATGACAACATTGAACGTTCAGCGATATCATTTAGCCAATCAAATTTCAATATTTTAGCGTTACCAACCTGTGTTACAGGATCCCGACACAACTCAATAAACAAACGCGCGCATGTAAAACTAACAGGTGAAATACGACAGGTAGCCTTTAGACCATTGCAGGTATTTTCAGGTGTAAAGTATGCGAACAATATCGATCATCATTAAAACGGACCATTTTACCGGGAGGGACACGAAGTATCCTGTAGGGCATCACAGACATTATTTCGCTCCAAAATGTCGACTGAGTTATAGATAACATTAGGAGACCTTCAAGGGACATTCTGCTTGGACAAACTTCGTTCAACTTGTCGCGTGGCGCAGGATGATAGCTTAGTAACCTTATGATAGCCAGGCCCGAACGATCTACGTCAACAAGAACTGCCAAACACATGTCCTATTCAAGTATGAAGGATTTAATGCGTACGCGTACCAAGCCACGACTATAAAAGAAGGCTCACTCGCTAAGAAGTAATCAAGCTCTCCTTCGAGGGAACACTGCCAGTCAGCGTCTTCGAGATCGACAATCTCCCAGTTATACTGCAAAATATCGAAGACAAAGCTGGTTGAGAATAACTAGCCCAGGATGGCCACCAGAAAACTACTATTAGGCATAGCCTACAGAATCTACAGATTATCTCTGAACACCGTAACGGTTAACCTTATGATGTTCAGTGTAAGGCGCTGGGCAACTCGGTGAAGTATATACGGATACCGGATGCATTTGCCTAGCTTGGTGAGCCTTGAATGAACCATCGACTGGGCAAAAGAATAACTGGTCGACGTGGTACAGTAAGGTAAGCTCAGAGCGCATAAAAATTAAAGCACGTCAAAAGGCCACAAACGCCGAGATTTTTCTTCGCAGTATGAGTGCAGGGATCGGCTTCGCTGAGCCGATCGCTGCGCTCATAACTTTGCCATAGCTTTTCTTCACTAACAGCTTCACTGGTACAGGTCGTTGCCGCCCTTTGCGGATGGGAAATTCGAGGCATTATTGCAGCGGAAAAGCTGCAAGGCCACGTTAAAGAGTATTTTTCCATCGAAAGCGCTGAGGTTTTCAATACTTGAGACTTTCTTTAGCCCTCTCGGCCTAAGCGCAAGCGTTCTAGTTTCTGATTCCTATTCAAATCGAGAGGTTTTTTTTAGTTGGGACAAATCAAGAAGTTAGCGCGATTGATCACCAGTGGGGTCGCTTCGATCACTAAAAAGGTAATTTGGGTCGATTCTAAGGTGTGTTTTTTTAATGTTTATTATTCGATCGGTCACCCAGGATTCCTCCTGGACCAGGAACAATGCACAAGATGGTCTGTCGGACTATTTTGGAGCACTATTGTAATACGATCCGTTTATTACATACTAACCACCTCGACATTATTGTTATCCTGTTGGTGATCAAATGGTTAGTCTTGCCAACTGATTGCTTATCCACTCTTTTTGTTGCAGCAGTCATTTGATAAAACTTGATCGCTTTATCGATTTCAGCACGAGATTTGATCATGGGGCAAGTTTGCTTAACCCCTTCTCCCCCAACGTCATCGATAAGCATTGAGCCTGATAAACTCATTTCGAATTTCACCACCAACTACGCAACCCACCCAACTACTTCCGTCCCATGACTGACACCAAGCCCACTCCGATGACCTACC